ATTTTAAATTTGCATTTCTGAAAGCGTTAATTGTTTCATTTATTTCTTAGCGACCACCACCCTAGCAACAGCTTATAAATATCAAACTTGTTGCACTAGATCTGAAACCATTGATTTAACATGAAAAACAAAAAACCACCTAGCAAGTAAGTAAGATAGCTTTGGAAAGCCGAAGCTCGTATACTCTTAGGGTAAGATCACAAATATAATTAGGGTAATATACAGTTCTTACCCTGAGAGAATAAAGTACCAAGAATCAGACGGTCCAAATAATGTAATTTAATTTTAGCCGACCTTAGGCTTACTAATTACTTAATTACTAATTTTTAAAAGAATACATTTTAAAGAAAAAATCATTTGCTAAAACGTAAAGCTTTTCGCTGAGAAAAATATCTTGGAACCTTTTTATGCTGTGCTACTAAACGAAATACCCTCTGGAAGGGTATAAAATATCAATAAAGACATTTGCATTTTGCAAAATGTAGAGCTACTTTTGGCTTCTTTAATTTGCATTTCTAGCGTATAAAAGCCCCTCCCCAACTGCAGTGGAACATCAGACAGTCATCAGCTATCTATCCCTATACAACATGAAGTTCCTCATCGTCTTCGTCGCCCTCTTCGCCCTGGCCGTGGCCCGCCCCAACGATGTCCAGACCCTGAAGCAGGATTCCGATGTCCAGCCCGAAAAGTGGAGCTCCGTCCTGGAGACCAGCGATGGCACCAGCGTCAACCTGGATGGTGTCCTTAAGAACGTTGGCACTGAGCACGAGGCCGCCGTTGTCCACGGATCCTACTCCTGGGTGGATGAGAAGACCGGCGAGAAGTTCACCGTCACCTACGTGGCCGATGAGAACGGATTCCAGCCCCAGGGCGCCCATTTGCCCGTGTCCCCACTTGCCTAAATTATTTAAAAGACTAAAATAAATCGATTGTTAATTGCAAATATCTATATGTGGTTTTTAATCTGTTCTGGGTGGAGTTCACATTTTTTTTGTCAGATTTGTATTCAGACAAATGTAAGGAAACACCACATTTCTGCTCTTGGGTTAGCCCCATTCCAAAAATATTCAAATATTTTAAAATGTAATATACTTAAAATTAATATTGATATATAAAAGGTGTTGATCCAAAAAGACTGACTATCCCGTTTCTTTAAAATTCTACGGGATTTGGAAGATGTATGGATTTTAATTTAAGTTTTGTATCATATGTTATGAGTTTTAAAATAAAAATCAGTACAAACTGTGAAATTGTGATTTCGAAAGCTAACATGATTAACCTTTGTGTTTAATTTATTTTGGTGAAACTGCCTCTATGCCTATTCTTAAACTTAATTCTGAAATTATGGTGGGGCTTTAAAAAAGGTCTTCAAAGAAATTCGAGAGTCAAATAAATAAAACACAACTGTTAATTGTTTTATTATTAAATAATAAAATGCTAATATTAATATTATAAAATTAAACTGTAATTATTTAATTATTATTGGCAAATAAATAAAACCCAAATATAAAAAAAAGAAACAAGGTGTACCTGAAATATTTGTGCAGGAATTTTGATGGACTTACTTATTCATTGACATTCACTGATGTGCTGACCTGTGTTAAAAATTAAAGATAATTTAAATTTATTTTTTATTAACTTTTTTTTCTATTGTCCTATTAAAAAGTTTACTAACGTAACATAATAATGTAATACTCTTAATGTAAAAGAAAAAAACAGTTAGCATATTTTTCGTTTGAATGACAGCTGTAGGATGTATATTGCCGATGTTTCCCCATAATTTAAAATATGATCTCTAGCGCAGATTTGCATGGAAAAGTCATAAAGACAAATATAAACTTAACAAGATCTGCACAGAACAAAAGACGATTGAGAAAGTTTCAAGATCGCAAGCATTTGAACTCATATTGAAAAACGTGTGTATGTATGTTGTCTGCTCTTCGATACAGACATCTGGTTGCACACCTTTTGATAGGGCAAGCAAATATTAGCAAAACTTATTTGCATATTGCGAATTTCAATGCTACTTTTGGCATTTGCAATTCGCGATATTTTGGTGTATAAAAGCCTCCGCCCAGCTGCACTAGAGCATCAGACAGTCATCAGCTTTCTATCCGGATACAACATGAAGTTCCTCATCGTCTTCGTCGCCCTCTTCGCCCTGGCCGTGGCCCGCCCCAACGATGTCCAGACCCTGAAGCAGGATTCCGATGTCCAGCCCGACAAGTGGAGCTCCGTCCTGGAGACCAGCGATGGCACCAGCATCGACCAGCAGGGAGTCCTGAAGGACGTTGGCACCGAGCACGAGGCCGCCGTTGTCCACGGATCCTTCTCCTGGGTGGATGAGAAGACCGGCGAGAAGTTCACCATCACCTACGTGGCCGATGAGAACGGATACCAGCCCCAGGGCGCCCATCTGCCCGTGGCCCCAGTTGCTTAAATTATTTAGAAGACTTAAATAAAATTGATTGTTAATTGCAAAAGTTCAAAAGTGTTTTTATTAATTATTGGGATTTTCATAGAAAAGCCCATCATTTTGGATTGTCCTGTTATCCTGTTTGAGTGGCACCAACGCTACGGCGTCGACGAGACAATCGCAATCAGATTATACATAGTGTTTTAGTTTAGTAATTACATTTAGTTTGGTTAAATTTTAAATACGTTTTTTATTAAAAATATTAAAACACTCAAAATTGGGGTGTTTATCAAATGTATGTGTATGTATTTAAAAATTCAACCCTAATTTTGGAACAATTTCTTTTTCCGTGGGACCTCATTTCTGAGAGTTTATATTAAGTTGTTGAACATCGAAATAATTTTAACAAATCTAAAAATATTATAAATAAAGTTGGAATTTGATTGATGGAAGTATTAAACATGATTTAAGAGTATTTTTATTAGCTGTAGTGGAAACATGTATTACATAAGAGTGTTCATGAAAAGAAACCCTCTGCCTTTTTAGAAGAACCTATCTACCTTGCCCGATAATATTCATATATATATATATAGGGCTTTAAAAGAAATACTGTTATTTTCAGTGACCTGACTTGACCTAACTTGTTATAGCAATTTTATAGTTTCTGGAAATAAACAAATATTCTTTCAAAAGTTCCGTATTTCTAATTGAAGTTGTGTACTTGACTGTGTTTCCGGATGGTTTTTGCTAAGAGTTCGTTATAGTTAGAACTCAAGAAATGAGTTCAATTTAATTCACAAGTTATGAATTAAAATTCATACTTCTTTTATATATATATTCATGATTTTTAACTAAAAACTGCCTTATAAATATACTAAACAACTTATGTTCAAATTGCTTCGTCATGCACTGTGCCTTATCTACCCACATTTAAGACTAAATATGACTTAAATTGATGTGCTCAATCGGTGAACTTCCCTCCCATGAATATATGGAAATCGTCAGCATGAACTTGGCCTTAGATGTTGTGTTAGCAAGTTGTTTTTATGCGGATGCACTGGACCAGCTGGTTCGGCGACATTAGTTCGGATTCAGTTTCGCTTTCTGCTGGAGCTTCAGTTTCAGATGGTGGCTGGGCTATTGGAGTGCAGGCGCTGCTTTAGTTTCCAGTTTGACCGGAACAAATGCAAATAAATTCGCGATACTATTGTCGAAGCATTAATATATTTTTGGCAAACTCTCTCAATGTCATATCTCACCTTTGACTTTTGCATTTCGCAAATCGCGAATCGTATAAAAGTCTACGCCCAAATGCAGTGGAGCATCAGACAGTCCCCAACTATCTAACAAACACCACCCAGCTCCAACATGAAGTTCCTCATCGTCTTCGTCGCTCTCTTCGCCCTGGCCGTGGCCCGCCCCAACGATGTCCAGACCGTGAGGCAGGATTCCGATGTGCAGCCCGACAAGTGGAGCTCCGTCCTGGAGACCAGCGATGGCACCAGCGTCAACCTGGACGGTGTCCTTAAGGACATTGGCACTGAGCACGAGGCCGCCGTTGTCCACGGATCCTACTCCTGGGTGGATGAGAAGACCGGCGAGAAGTTCACCGTCACCTACGTGGCCGATGAGAACGGATTCCAGCCCCAGGGCGCCCATCTGCCCGTGGCCCCCCTTGCCTAAATTATTTAAAAGACCAAAATAAAATTTCTGTTAATTGCAATTGTCTCAACGTGGTTGTTAGTCAGTTCTGGGAAGAGATATCATATTTTTTTATAAATGTCAAATACTGTTACAGTCAAATTATTATTCTGACATATCAGGAATAATCAGGGGTGTTACAGAAATTATCACAGAATCTATAGAGTTTTGGAGTAAATTTTGTCTGATCTTAGAAACATTTTTTTCATTTTTTTAAGTCGTCTACTTCATTTTTCTGTGTCACCGAGCTTTACTTTTCGGGGATAATTAGCTTGGAAGAGATTTATGTGACAACCCTGGTTGTAATAAAACTAAAGAGATACCCAGTAGTCAGAGAAATAAAATTAGCAAGGCGACTTTTCAAAGATTTCAGGATGCCACCAAGTGGCGATTACATTATTTGGTCCTAACTTCTTAGTGATGGAACCCATTTGAACAATTTTGATAAACAAAACAATATCCCGGAATCTTTAAAAATGTGGGATACAGACAGATTTTAGGGTTATGGGCGTTATAGTGGTCGCGGCAACATTTTTTGTTAGGTCCATAGATACATATTGACCAATATATTTCTGTTATAGTTTTATTTCTAGCATTAAAACCGTAGGCGCCACAGTCTTTCTAGGTACTCTCTCTAGAGTTTGCTTGATTAGCCCCAAACTCTATCTTTTGTAGTTTCCGCGTTCATACGGTCGGAAAGGCAGTGATCCTGATCAAGAATATATATTATTTATAAGGTCGGAAACGCCTCCCTCTACCTGTTGCATACTTTCCAACGAATCTAAGATACCCATTTACTCTACGAGTTACGGGTATTTGTTGAATAATGAGAGGAAACTATATCTTTTTATAAACAATTTATTTAAAATAACTAAACTTAAGCCTCGGGGGCAACGGGCAGATGGGCACCCTGGGGCTGGAATCCGTTCTCATCGGCGACGTAGTTGACAGTGTAGGTGACACCATCATCGCCCAAGAAGGAGAAAGATCCACGGACGGCGATGGCCTCATTCTCGGTACCGGCGTTTATCAGATGACCCGACTCCTCCTTCTTAGATCCGTCGCTGGTCTCCACACTGTAGGAGAACGGGAGTTTAATCCTGCTTTCATTCTGGCACTTTAATGACCTTTAAGAACTTACGCATAGTTGAAGCCGTCGGCACCAACATCGGATACATGTTTCAGGACGGAAACCTCCTGAGTAGGAGCGGCCAGAGCCACGGCGAAGAGGGCGACCAGGACGATGGCGAATTTCATGTTGAAGGCGTTGTAGATCGTTGAAGACTCAAAGATAACTATACTGCTTAAAGGCCGTTCCCCGCGTATTTATAGTCCAACAGATTTAGGCCTATGTCCGCACGTGTTAAAACTGCCAAAACTAGTTTAAGATTCGGCAAAGCCTAAATGTAAACGTGAAGTGGTTACTAATTTTAGCTAATAAAAATGGCTATGGAAATTCAATCGAATGATATAGAAATATAAAAGCCTATATATTTTGATTCACATGGAAAATTCTCAGGTGAATAGATATAGGTTTAAAACTGTAAGTGCACGCATATACGGTTTGAAAAAGGACCTATTCGAAAGTCTATATCCTATGGTCAGGCGTGTATCCCGTGGCTGTGTATTTTTGTGAATGTTATGTTTTTGTATTTACTGAAAATATTTATTGTGAAATTTTTAATTCAACATGCAGGTACTTATTTTAATTTTTTCAATTGTTTATTAGTGACCATGAAATATAATAAATGTTGATGTTAGTCAAGATTTTATACTATTTAATATGTACTATATAAGTCTGAAAATAAATATTACAGCTATTTACTGTAGGCCATTCCCAACATTTTGAAGTTTATGCCTACCAAATTTGTGTGTATATATTCAACTATTATATATTTAATTAACACCGACCGTCAGATCGAGCCAGCAAAATCGAGCTGAAGATTTAGTTTCAAGTGCTAATTACATTAGTTCCTGTCTCAGCCTTCGCTGTTGCAATCCTATAAAAGCCACCTGAGATGTGCAATCTGACAGTTATCCCGACCACCTCTAAGTAACCACTAACCAAGATGAAGTCCATCCTCGTTTTCGCCTGCCTTTCGATTGCCCTGTGCCTGGCCGCTCCTGCCCCGGATGCAGAGATCGTCAACCAGGAATCGGATGTGAATGCCGATAGTTATAGCTTCAAGTTCGAGACGAGCGACGGTACCAAGCAGGAGCAGCATGGCTCTCTCAAGAACCTGGGTCCCGAGGAGGATGCCCTGCAGGTGGCCGGGTCATACAGCTACACGGGGGACGACGGAAAGACCTACACTATCACCTACGTGGCCGATGAGAACGGATTCCAGCCCCAGGGAGAGCACATTCCTCGCCCATAAATATGGCTAGCCCTAGGTTCTTAAAAAAAAAAATCAAGCATTTCGTCAAAAAACTTTAGACTTATAACATGAAAATGAAAATATTACTCTATAATTACGTTCTTAGGAATTATAACTGAGGAACCTTGAGGAACTATAAAAATTGTGTTAAAAATGAATGACCATTACTTAATGCAATGCACCAGAATTTTTAATGTATTATTAAATAAACTTACCAATTATGCTTTTATATTAAATGAGAGGTTTTTTCGGTCTTGAATCTTTAATTTTAAGATAACCACTTTTTTTCTTCTTTTGCTTCTTGATATCAAGAATTTTTTATCAATTCTTAGAATACTCTTTTTATTCTCCTTGAAAGGCACTTGAGTATCGAGTAGAATTTTCGTAGATGAACCTGAAAGGAGGGGCTCCAGGAAGGGACCGTTTGATAAACCTCAAAGAAAACAGATTTTTTTCGAGAATCGAAAGTTCGGCTTTAATGCGAGTAACAAGGAATAAAGAAAACAATGCACGACACTGACTTGACTGACTGATCGACTTACTAACTGACTGACCGACTGGCTGCCACGGGACAAGGGGCAGCTCCTCCGGACAGGACCTCAGCACCTCACTCTATGGCCGGGTTGGTTGGTATCTAGGGGTATTCTTTTGGGATGGTGATATCTACAGGATAGCTCCCCGGTAGGGAGTATCTACTTGGGCAGGTGGGCGCCCTCTGGCTGGAAACCATTCTCGTCGGCCACAAAGTTAATGGTGTAGGTCTGGCCATCGGGAGCCACCCAACTGACGGATCCCCGGATGGATATCGATTCGTTTTCGGTGCCCGCGTTGTTAACCGTGCCCTCCTCCGAGCGGGTGGTGCCGTCGCTCAATTTATAGCTGAACTTGTAGCCACCGAGGCCGATGTTCTCCGATTCGTACTCCAGGACCTCCACATCGTTTTGGGGCCGGGCACTGGCCAGCGCCAGGAGCAGGGCCATCGAGCCAACGACTAGCATCTGCAAGGCGAAAGATTAGGTATCCTTTGTGTATCCTTTGTATCCAAGTTGACCTACCAATTTCATCATGTTGAATGGTTCTCGGACTGCAGATTCCCCTATGCGACTGGACAAACTGGCGGTTGTCTAATGGTGGCGTTGCATCGGCGTCCACTGCATTTTATACTGCACTCGCAGCCGCATTTGCAAACGTCATAAATTTGCACAATTGTGGAAGAAGCCAAGCAGCTCGGCGGCTCGGCGGCTCTGGCGGTCGCCGGCTAAATGTTTTTCTCTATTTCCATTTTATTTTGTTTTTGTGCTGCTTTTCAATTGCCAGCGTTGCACCAAAGTCGCCAAAGTCGCTGCGACAAGTAACATTTAAAGCGGCTTTGTGCAGCGGCGAACTCATCCGAATGGTATTATTGCTCTTCACCCACACTCGAAAAAGCATTCTTCCAAGTCTTAGGACGAGTACGTCAGATTAATTCTTAAGCATCATATTTCAAGCCGGTAATAAAGATATTTTATTGAAATAGGTATTGGTAATAGTAGTGGTAATAAAGTAACTAACAAATGCACAACATCTTTGTAAAACATAAGTTTTAAGTAATTTATTAAAATCTAAGTTCATGAGTCAGAAACAATATTTGTAAGTCCTAAATTTAAATTTAAATATTTTAAAAATATTTTCTATGCTTTATGATTAGTAAGGACTCAAAAATAATAATCTAGAAATACAGGAGCTTGGTAAAAAATTTCTTATATGACATAAAATATGCCTATATGAAAATAATATGTTGTTAGACGCTCAAAAGCACTTTATAACAAATTTGGACTATAAGATCCAATAAAAATCCAATAAAATATACGAATTTTCAAACCAGAACAAAGCTCTCATATTAAGTACCCAAGCAATTAGATCTAATAGCCACATAAAGCAACATTTTCTTTGAGTGCTGACTGGCAGCTTTAGAAAACTCGAAAAAGTTCATGAATCAAGCAGATGCATTGGGGAAAAGGTTGCGGGCTGATTGGGCAGCTCCGGGGAAATACCGGGCCAAGAACTATGGGAAACGATAACCAGAACAGCTCGGCACCCAGCTGGAAATCGAACCGAAATCGACGAAGACTTGGTAGCCAGAGGAGAGTCTAAGTTCAAGTGCTGTCGACGCCAATTGGCAGGGCAGCAAGTTCAAGCCGCGGACACGAAGAACACGAGCGGAGCCATGTGTGATGGCCAAAGTGCACGATGGATGGGACTTTAGATGGAGATGGAGTGGAGATGGAACCGCAGGTTGACTTTTGGCATATGCAACGGCCTTTACAGCGCTCGATTGATGTGCCTGCCCGGTAACAAGCGCCAAAAGCAGTTGGAAATATATAAAAAATACATCGAATAACCTACAACTACGACTCGCATGCAATTTAAATCTCTGACTTTTGTTGTTTTTCTGTATATACATATATATTTTTTTTTTTAGTTTTTTAGTCGCCGTTTCTGTTTGCCAATTTATGCCACCTTCGTTGACCGCTAGCAGGCCGATGAAGAAGCCCCAGCAGCGGATCTTTCGAGCCGGTCAGTCGGGTTTTAACTTTGGTCATCGGTCGGCCTCTGGTTGACCACGGTTCTGCCCCAGCCTCCCACGCCTCCTGCGCTCGATTTGTGCCAACAACTTTATATCTGTCCCAACGACAGGGTGTTGTGCACTGATACTGGCATTTCCTCAAATGTCGCCTAAAAGCGCAGCTTCTTGCCCCATTCTTTGGCAGCTGCAATTTGACATTTTGACATTTTTCCCTCGATTACTTACCATCGAATGATCTGAGCTAAGTCAATCGTGTTTGATTTGCAACATCTCGTAGGATAATTATTATTTTTAACGTCTATTATCAGCAAATGTATAATTGAATTAAACCGAAATAGGCAAAAATAAAAGTTTTAAGGAATTTTTATAGTCGAAGAATTACATAAGAGGTATTATAGTGTGAAAAATATGAATTGACCACAAATGTCAAGCCAGCCATTGCTGATTAGACAGCAAATGGAAAAAGGTGTAAATGTGTAAAATAAACAAGTAAAACAAGTCTATTAAATATAATCAATAAATATAAATGTGCAATCGGGATCTTTAACCTTTAATAAACCCAAGACTTAATTTGTCCACTATGTACATCCCAAAACAATACAACCTAAAGACATAATTAATTGGGCTTGTCCGCCTACGAAGTGAACTTGGGGCCCTTGAAAATGGATCTGATTCCAATCGATTCGTGACTGCATGCATAATGTTTATTATTTGGGTCTCTTTCCGCGGCTTTTCGAGGGCATCTGCAGCGAGCTGCATTTATCATGCTGGATTTGCATAATTAATCTGGCTTTGTTCGATGGCTAATCGGTATGAGAACGGGGGCGTTGTCATTCGATGGAGGGAATTTGACAAGTTTTTGGGCCCGAATTCTTCCTTATACACAATCATTTACATAACTGTTCTAATCAAATCTAAGCAATCGACAGGTTTTTCAGCTTCAGACTGTCGCTTTCAATACACAGAGATGAGATGCCTGTTGCCAGACAGAAATCGCCGCAGATACAATAGACATTTATGTAGATGCGTCTTCACATTTACGTCTTCAAGGTCAGCGCCAGATGCTGCTGCTGCTGCTGCTGTCCATCTGTCTGTCTTTTTGTCTATCTGTCTGTCTGCCGCCCATTCAGCTGCCGTTTTGGCCCGGCTTTCGTTCGTTGCCAACTCGCACGCACCTCACTCCAAAGTTGGCCAGACCGGCTTGAGCGAACTCGGTTTTTGGGACTCGGCTTTGTGGCTTGGTGGTTAGGTAGGAATCGAACTCGGTTTCGGGTTTTTTTTTCTTTTCTTCTTTTTCACTTTTTTGTTTTTTGGCCGCATCAACTGGGTCTGCAAAATTAGCACTTGAGCGTTAATGGCAATGTTTTAATTGCAGGGCTCCTCAGCTCCTCCTGGTGGCCATCACTTCTTTAAATATGTAAATGTCACATTTCTGTTGTTTTTTCATTTCTTTTTCAACACTTTAACCGCTTGTTTCGTAATATTTGCATTCGGCTAAAAAAATACACACACAAACAGAAACGGTTTTAAAAATACTTCTGCTGACACCTGACATTAAGAATCGTGCGTATAATTTAATTTTATAGCAGGCTTCGACCATATTTGTTAGCTTTTTTGGTGGCCTGAATGCAACGCATCTTGAGTCTCCGAAAAAAAACGCTGTCGCCAAGATTGATTGCCGTGAATAAACATTAATATTTATTTTTGTTTGTCTCCCCAAGTTTTTGAGAGAACCAGAATAATTCCTAATAACTACCAAATTAAATTTTCAAAGATTTTTATACAAAGTGTAAAAACTAGTTAAAATTTTGTTATTTTATATTCATTTTTAATAAAGTCATTTACATTAGTAGAAGCACATGTTTTCAAATTTGGGGCTAACATTTCCTAAGCCCAAACTAGTTTTTCGTTATGAACTTTTTCATTCAGCACAACAAATGACTTAAGCAAAAAACTTAGTTTTGGTTCACTATAAATTCTATGTTACATACTTTTAGGCATTATATTTTGTTTAGTTTTTAGGCAAATATATCAATTTTTCCATTAAGAAAATGTAAAACTGTAAAGCTCTCAAATTAAGAAACAAAGCACAAACATTTGGGTTGAATATAAAAAGACTTAGGCAAAGAACTTGATTGACAATTTGGTTAATACTCACATACTTTTGGGAACAACGTTAAAAAGGTTAATTATTTACTATTTGCGTAAATAATAAAATAAATGCACCTGACTGAACTATTGAACCCTTTTTGTCAAACACTGCTCCCACGGACTCAGTTATCAAAAAAATAATTAGTCTACTGACTTTGGTTGGTATGTGAATACACTGATCTATATTGAATAACTTATTGGGTACGCATAAAATCAAAAGTGGGCCAAACATTAGGCAAGAAAACAATAATAAAATTAGCCTTAAATGATAAAGATGATACTTTTATCAAAACTTTAAATTGACTAAAACTTGCATAGAATTTTTAAAGTGGTTTATCGTTATGTGCTGAGAGGTTTAGTGCTCACGCCTCATTTCCACTTATAAAAAGCTGTAAAGTGTCTCTTTATCCACTCGGCACATGTGCTTACCATTTTCTTAATCACCATGATTTTATGAAATTTGCTTGCATATTGTGAACACGATTTCCCTTGCACAACAAACCAGTTTTCAGAGTGAATCGGTTATTTTGGATCGAATGTTTTTATTGCTTGCAAATTTAACATCTCAACTTATAAACTAGCCTAAAACAGTTGGCAAACTGTTGTAATAAATTCGTAATGGATTGTTATAAAAATAATCTTTGAGTTGTTTTAGCCGGCCAGAGAAGCCAGGGATTTTCCAGACAACTTGCGGATCTTCAGACCCTGCTGGCGAGAGGGACGGTGGTTCTTGGCCAGGCTGTTGGCATTCTCAAGATCCTGAGCTGCTGAAGAACCGCTCAGCACTTTGCCAATCTCATCCCGGAAAGTTCCATCGGGCAGGGTGTAGCTGAAGGTAGAAAATATTGCAATGAGTATCTTATGACACAGAAAAACTATAACACAAAATTGTTATTAATATAATAATAATAAACACCAAAAAATCCAATAATAAAGTTATTTAGATAGAAACAATTTTATAAAGTGATATAACTTTTTGAGCTTATATTTTTTTCCTAAATCTATTCCTAGTGAAATGACTATGACCATTTCAAATTAAAAATCGTAGATATTTTATTATTTATAAAAAAATACTTCTATCTTGTGTTCTTATTTTCAAAATTTGATGAGGGACTAAATGAATTGGCCTTAGAATATTTCAGACTCCTATTAAACAATCTCTAAAAAAATGTTAGAAATCTTATCATATACTTTAATCTCGGTTTCTTAATATAATGGAAAGCAAACCTACTTGAACTCGTATCCATCGCGGGTTGGTGTATAGCTGAACTGGTCGAGGGCTACATCTCCCAGCTTGATGTCGATCACAGTGCCAGGTGGGAAGGAGGCGTAGTTCAAGTTGGCTCCGAAGAGGACACAGGCCACCAGGAGGATCAGGGCCTGCACCAGCTTGCTGTTGATTCTGAGCCCTTGGCGAACTTCCTTCTTGCCATGACTAATGCTGCCCGCCAACGGAGAAAGACTCATTTTGGATCGTTAGTTGGTGGCCCGTGGAAAAATACGAGTCTGGAAAACACACAACTGGCAACCAAGGCGGCTGGGAGCTAAATGAAACGTCTTCTTCGAGGCCACTGGCATAAGACACCTATATGGATCCATAATGAGTTGTTGGTCCAAAACAAAGCGGGCACCACAAAATGTTGAGTAAGCTACATGCAAAGAGGCGGGTTGCCCAATTCCATTGATGGTGAATCGAGATTTGCATAACGAAAGCAAGAGACTTCCACGGCTCGAGGCACAATTTGGTGGCAACTCTCGGATATGTGCATTACATTTAAAACGCCATCAAATTGGAAAATTATCGGCCAAACCCATGGAAGAAAGTCTGAATAGGGCTAGCAGTGACTAATGAATGCCCTAACTTTTTAGAAATATAAAGAAAAGAACTATACAAAATTAAAGAAATTATTATTTATAAATCGTCCCTTTTTTGTGGTTCTAATCTTTTGGAATTAAACTTGTAAAAATCTTTTTTAGCTAAATAATAATAGAATGCTACTTTTTTAATAACTCGAAATAATAATAAATAATAAAATATCTTTTTAAAATTAAACAGTTTCTTTTTTATGCAATACATTTATGATCTATATCAAACTCTTCAAAATAGTCAAAACAGCCCAAACGACTTTTACGGAAACAGAAACCCATTATAATGCTGGTGATGTTGCAATCTGTCTATCTCGAAATGATTGAAGATTAACGAGCAGGCCCTAACTCATTTAAGCTTTTGTTTAGCCAAGTCGGGCACCACCTAAAAGCAGAGCTTTTGAGCCACGCTTAATACACTGATAAATTATGCGTATTTTAATTATCTATCATAATACAAAGAAATAAATTTTGCTTAACTCTTATTCGATTTGATTTTGTGGGCCGTCACATAGGGCTGGAAACCGTTTTTGTTAGCTTTATAGAGGACCTGGTATTCATATCCGTCGGCCGAAATGAAGCTATAGCCCCCTTTATATTCCACAGGCTTTTGGGTTGTCGGTTCCTTGGGGTCCTTATCCGTTTCCGGTCTAACAGTGTATGTTATAGCCTCATTCCTGTGCTGACCATTTTCTGTGTTAAACCTTTATGAGGGGAATATGATTTAATACATATATTTCGAGAGATGAACTTTAGTAACCTTACCCGAAATGAAGTTCCTCCTCTCGTTCGCCTTTCTCCAAAGCCGCTGATGAAACCAAGGCACACATCGCTGCCATTAACAAAATGTGGCAAAACTGAATAAAACAATAAATAAAATTATATGAGCAACCAAATTTAGTGATCTATAGACTTCTACCCACCAATTTCATTGTGAATTTATGGTTTTACAAGTATTTGAACTAAAATTTATTTGTGATCAGAACTATACGTTCTTGTCTGTTCTGTTGACCGTTTTCAACTGAAGATGTTCTGCCAGATGAGCCAACCAGCTAAAATAATTCAAAGAGATCGGAATAATGAAAACAAATATCTGCGCAGCCAGCTATTTAACAGTAAGTCGTAGCCCGAATAGGGTTACGTCATTGTTTATGGCCAAACTTTTGTTCTAAACACGCAAAGAATCGCAAAAAGAAAGGTGATTAAAAAAGACTTTAGATAAGTAAAATGACTATCAAATGCTCTTTCGGAGTTTAAAAAACTACTCTGCATTATAGGTTTTTAATTAAATTATTTAAAGACGTGATTAAAGTTAGTTATTAAAAAGTATTATGTTATGAAAGTCATAAAACTTACTTTAATTACAACTTAAAATAATGGTATTAAAAACTTTAACTTTTTCTAACTATAGTTATAGATATTACGTAAGTATACATTTTCTAAATACTCATATACGAAAAATTCATTTTAAATAAGGGTAACACATTTTGAAGGGAAGTAACATTCAACCTATGTATGTGTTTTGAGTTCGTTTAATTTTAATGTTCATCTACAGGCATCAAAACAAAACAAAGGTGATCAAAAAAACATTGCTTTATATTTTTGAGACCTCTTCTCAATAAATTATTTTAAACACTCTATTTGTTATTGAGACTTGCTTCTTCGAAACAGCCTGGTGACTCAGCTCAAGCAAATCAGTTGGCAACCACATTATTATTTTAATATTCGCAATAGAACCCATTTAATAGCGCCGACAGTTGCACAGATTCCCGCGCGTCATCTCATATGGAGGCTGTCATCGAGGGCCAGTGGCTAATTTATCAACGGACCTCATCTGAAAATGTTTATTTAAGCGATACGAGGAACTTAATCGGGCAACCCTCGCGAAAACAACGCCAAATCGCAATCAGATCGTTCCGCTCAGTCAAAGTTCGCTTTATAAACGCGAATGCGGGCGTGGAATATGTGCCATCGGTGCGTGGCTAACTGGAAACCAAAAGCCGAGCACCAAGGACTAAAAACCAAGGACCGGGGACCGACAATTGTTGGTTTATGCAGCCGGTGCAGCAGCCGGCTATTCCTGGTCCTCCCCGGTGGTTGCTTGGTCGCGAGCCAAATCCAGCAGCCCACAGCTGACGGTCGGAACAGGTTCACAAAATCCACACACCCGAATCCTGAATCCCGAATCCTGCATCATGGGAGCGCGTCAGCTGTGCGCCAGCACATTACAAGTAGGACAAGCTGCAAACGACATTGCCATTAGCTCGGCCTTTTCCTCGGTCCTTCGAAGGGGAAGATTCGGTTCTATATTAGCGGCATCCACGACAGGCACAAGCTGAGCTACCAAATGATAAACACACACAACAGCAGCCGCAACCGGAAGCATAGTGGCATAATATAACAAATTTTGGGATATGACTAAAAAAAAATTTGTAATGAGGTATATTACAAATCGTTGACATTTAAAAATGATCTACTACTGTACCTTCTTAGTTTAGTTCATTTTAAATTTACCAAATTAACAAAAATTTTGATGTAAAAAATTTTTTCATAAAGAAATTTTTTTTTCGTTATTGATTAAATTTACTTTTTATTATAAATATAAGTTGTATTTCAACCCAATGCATTATTATTAATATAAAGAAATTGGAAATATAAATCAACATTTTGTATATTACAATATTAAACTTCACACATTTTCTATCAACCCAGCACCACTGTGCACTGGCCGGCAAAAAGTTAATAGACGATTGACTAAAGCCGACATCCCTGTCGTTGTAGTTGGGTGTTGTGCTCGATGCTGAGTCCTGGATCCAGGTCTTAGCACCCCTTGGCAACAGGCAAAGTGCATTAGACAAGGGATCTTGCGGGGTTGGGTTCGGTTTTTATTCTTGGGATGGGCGGGGCTGGGCTGGGTTGGTCATGCAGGTGTTGCCCGATCCTGTTGAAAATTGCTTTTGAATTAAAAGTTTTTGCTTGTGGCCGGGCGGGTTTTGTTGTTTTTAGCGATTAGCCGAAGGGGTCGGGCCTGAAGATTGCACACTCAATTTATTAGCGCTTTGTCAGTCTTTCAACTAATCGGATGGCTCTGGGGATTTCTGCACTTGCACTTGCAATGGCCCAGTTTGTTGGTTCTGTTTTCGATTTCATTGTGTTTTCCATTCCAATCGAAAAGCGTGGCACGTGACTGCTCCACTGGGGTCGAGGGGTCGCGGTCAAAAGCACCTGTGGCTGGTCATATAAAAAGCCATTCAGCCATCGACCACCAGTCACTGTTTGAATTTGAGATGAGACTGACCACTGTGTTTTCTGTGATTTGTATCGCTCTCGGCAGCGTTTGGTCTAAACCGGCGGGTTATCCGAGTGCCCGACCTCCTCCGGCCACCTATCTGCCTGCCAAGCCACCAGCTCCACCACCACGTCCTCCTCCACCACCGCCCAGCAGCTACGGTCCCCCCAAGAACGGCAATGGGAAGCCACCACCTCCGCCGCCGAAACCCAATAACAGCTATGGACCACCACCCAAAAATGGCAATGGAAAACCCCCACCCAGGAATGAGTACTTGCCTCCAGGAAATGGAAACGGAGGTTCCTCGGGAGGCGGAGGAGGAGGAGGAGGTGGAGAGGATATACCCATCATCAAGTTGGAGTCCAAGGTCAACACAGATGGTTCTTATAAGGTGAGTGGCTTGTAAATGCTTAATCAAATAATGTTCGAGATTTTATTAAATAAATTAAAAGTAATAAAGTTTCAAGCAAATTTAAAATCTAAACTGAGCCAACGAAATGCAATAGTAACTTAAAAGTTGAGTAGTCAACTTCAAAATATTAAAACAGATATAATATATAAACAAATAAAAAATATTTCAATGAATTATTTGTACTTACATTTATACAGTTCTTTATTAAATAATATAAACCATTTTTAAACCGTTTCCAGTACGAATACGAGACCGGAAATGGAATAAAGGCCGAGGAAATGGGCTACCTGAAGAACGCCGGAGTGAAAGGGGCGGAGGCGCAGACGGCGGAGGGTTCCTTCTCTTACACCAGTCCCGAGGGTCAGGAGATATCGCTGACCTACATTGCGGATGAGAACGGATTCCAGCCGCAGGGGGATCACCTGCCCACACCGCCACCCATTCCCATCGAGATTCAGGAGGCGTTGGACAAATTGGCCGCCGGCGGAGGATGCCATGGTTGCGATGACAACGAGACGGGTGGCAATGATGATGACGGTGGAGGTGGCTATGTCTACCGAAGGAAGTAGAGGATTTACTGCGAACCGGAAAATATGAATTGCAAATAATAGCTTTCAGGAACTCGATCTCAAATAAATATTTAATAAGTTCATTTCTTTCAATATTATGATTACAATGGTAATAGAGTACGTTCTTATAAACAACTTTCTTAGTATTATCTAAGATTTCTTAAAAATTACCTTCTATTTTAAATGTTCTTTTACTACATTTCCTTAAAAAATTATATCTTCTCTCATTAAGCGCTGGCAATTGCTAATTAAAATGCTTTAAAATGAAAACCCCTTGGCGGCCTACTTATTCAGGACTAGCAAACACCAAGCCGGAATTGGTCCTGGTCCTGGCCTGGTACACCTTGCTCCTGGCTGGGTTGGTGTGTCCTGTTGGCCACCATTCCAACCCTTGAGCAGGCGCGACGGCTGTGTGACTGGCAACACATGTTTTTTCCCCGTTTGCCAATCGCTCGCCCAACTTTATCCTGTTGATCGCTCGACGAAGGGTGTCCAGGGGCGGGGAAAGGAGAAGGGGAGGGGCATGCCGCAGCGATTGTGTCGCAATAATGAAAACATTAGCCTCGTAGCATATTTGTCAGTCAGCAGGAGCGGAGCTGATTTCGATGAGGGTAGAAGCAAGGGGCGGCCTTAAAGTTTCAATCCTCTGAATATTCTTTATTTAATATGATGATATGAATGAAAACCTATATGAGTTCTCGATAAAGAGTTTAACATTTCTATGGTATTTGAATTTTTTAAAATATTTTATTCAGTTAAAAGTAGACTTGGGATTGTATATATATAAATTACTATCCTATTAATTAATTTTTGTATAATATAAATCTAATGAGTTAGTAAAAAGAGTGTTTTTAAACACAAAATTAATGAATTCACAAAGTATAAGATGTCTAGTTAAAGTTATTTCACACATAAGTTTAAAAATGCATGTAAGAGACTTCCCAAAATATCTTTATTTTTTCATAGATATTAACAATAATTTAAATGTTCAATTTACAATCATTTACATAATGGAATATATTTAGAATATTAGATAAAATATTTAGAGATACAAATTAAAAATGCACTATATTAATTCATATATCTTAATTAACACCATTTCGGGGCCCCGTTACCTTCCTGAAGAAGAGTCCGCACTACCGAGCATGCAACCCACCTTCGCGACGAGCGCAGAAATCACGACCCACCCCAAACCGCAAATAGTGAAACGATACACGCCAATATATTATGGCATTAGCATTATAGTGGAAGTGGAAAATTCTGGGGTGGGGAAATCATCAAGGGAGGGAGGGACCATGGGCAGAATGACATTGACGATGGCGAATGCGATTTGTATATGGTGGCATTACAACAACAACACCGAGAACCACGGGGAAGTAACAACAAACGATCGTTTAATTTCAATTAAAAACATTTTCCTTGTGCGCAGCCCAAAAGCCAAAAAATAAAGGACTCGTCGGTTGAGAGAAAGGAGGTGGAGGTGGTTTTCGGCAGAGGAATACGCACACTTGCTACAGGCCGCTTAGCTTGGCTTAGTGCTCTGGTGATTGCGAGGACATGATGTTGCACTTGCCGAGCAACCACCAGGACGCACCAGGACCTCGAAAAGGGATGCCAAATGAGCCAGGGGGTTGAGCCGGCAAAGTGCGTAGCTATGTCGAGGCTATAGCCGGTGCCGGACTGGATTCTGGGCTGGGAATTCTTGCACTTGCCGCCAGCCGTGCTATTGTGACACTGCAAGGCCGTGGCAAATCCAAATCCGGAAATAAGGGAGCAGGATGCGGATGTGTCGTGGTATAAAAACGACGGTCGGCTTCCAATTGGAACGCAGAATCGAATTCGAAGGCGAACGATGCACACGACAGCTCAACTGGATAGTCTGGAGCAGAAGCGCTCGGCCAGCCTGATCTTTCGGATCGAGCAGCTGCTGCCCAACACCAGCATCTCGCCCAGCACCATGACCACTTCATCGACGGAGACCACACTGACGGCCACTACGAGTGCAGCCAGTCCAGCAGCCAAGCGGATGAGAATGAGCAATCCCCGGCCAGGAGTCTACACCACGCAATACACGCCCAAGGATACCTGTTCCATTGCCATTCCCACGTCGGCTCTTCTCGGATCTACGGCCACGCCCACCGACGGCGGACGCTCCCATTGCCAACTGTCCAACGGCGAACTGATCGTATCCGCCTCCCTGCTGCGCCAGATCAAGCTGTCCGAGGATGTCTATAGCTTTAATGCCATCTTCGAGCTGCAAGGCGGTCAGGTGCGGGTCCGTTTGGTCAGGGATGTGGCCCGGGAGGATGAGATCGTGGCCTGGTTCGGCGAAGAACTGGTCCTCCTCATGGGCATTCCCTTCCTGACGCCCTTAAATATTCAAGGTAGGCATCAACCGTTTGATTTTTACTTAATATAACTTAAATATAATATTTAATGTTGGTTTCTAAATATTTTAAATTTTTAGTTTCCAACAATCTAATTTTTAAAATTACATTTAATGATTTATTGATTGAACTAACCCCAATTTGTATTTCCAATAATTGCAGGAAACAGTCGCTACACGTGTCACCTGTGCCACTTGACCTTCGAGACTCCTCACCCTCTGAAGATCCACTTGGCTCTGGGTTGCGGGCGCAGTGCCATGGATATCCTGTGGATGCGACTGCACTACGCTCTGAAGGCAGCCGCCCGAAGTCACACAGCCACCCAGCATTCACCCATTCCGGCCACTTCGTCCACCTCCTCGGCCTCGCCCACCCACTCGCCACCGCCCCAGATGCCACCCCGCTTCTCCGCCTTCCGCCCGATTGCAGGCCTTACCCAGAGTTTGCCCATGGCAACGACTACTACGACTCCAGGAACTCTATCCTATCTGCCCTCCATTTCAATGGCCACCGCCCCGTTGTCCACCCATCCCATGAATGCTGCCGCCCAGATCGAGGCCATAGTCAGCAATATGGGTGCCTCCAAGCAGGGTCATCTGTGCATCTACTGCGGCAAGGTGTACTCCCGGAAGTACGGACTGAAGATCCATATACGAACCCACACCGGCTTCAAACCGCTGAAATGCAAGTTCTGCCTGAGACCATTCGGTGATCCGAGCAATCTTAACAAGCATGTGAGGCTGCATCTTCAGACGCATCCGAGTAGTTCCTCGGGAGGAGCAGAAAGTGGAGCAGGTGGTGCGGGCAGCGATGTGGACATAGAGGGGGAAACGGATTCCGGTTACCAGTGCGACACCTGCCACAAATCATTCCCTCGGCGAAGGGATCTGCAGCGACACATGGAGACGCGGCATGGTGGATCCCATTCCCATTCCCATTCTCAATCCCGATCCAGCAGCACCACCAGCACAACCACAATGACCACAACGGTGACCACATCCTCTTCGAAGTCCAGCTAAGTTCTGGGAGAAATAATCGTAGCACGCTTTTTGGGGAACAGCTGTGATAGAGAAATACAATTTTTGAATACATTTTAAGATAAACAAAAAAATTAAAAAGAAAAACTGATTATATCATAGAAAATAAAAAGATATTCCACCAAACTGTAAAGATCCCATTATAATATCATGCAATAGTAACAACTTTAAAAAGAAAATCTGTTAAGTGAGATTAGAAAACCCGGTTAAGAATCAAATAGTATCGCTTTATTGATAAATTTCAATACGAATTCAAAGTGAATTTCTATCGTATAATGCACAAATCTTATTGTTAGACAATTAATGCTATTACTCGTACAGTTTACGCTCCGCTTTTGGCGGCTTAATTCATATTCGTGTAAACTCGCTTAACTTTAGGGTACATGCAAAACAATCACAAATTGTCTTCAACTTGGGTAAAGCGGGTGTACGTGTGTGTGTGGGTGTGTCTCTCTCTTAGTGTTATTTTTTATATTTTTTTTTGGTTTTTTTTTTAGTGTATGTTTGTGTGTGTGTGCGTTGAGCAAAACGTTGACGGGCCAAAAACACTCACAAATACAAGATTTTAATTCATAGTTAATCGTACAATTACTTCTATATGCCAGTGTAGAAATGCGACGGTAAAAGGTATACAGTATGTACGTATATGTGTACTTTTAGTATTATAGATCGGAGCATAGAGTTAACTATTCTGTTTGCTTGATTTCTGGAACTACATTTAGTAGGTTGGCCGGGGGGCTAACACTTAGTTGAGTTTTGAACAAAGGTCTGTCCCTCCTTCTCCCTAAACAAATGTACCGAAAACAATCGATTTACTTTTGGATCTGGATGCGTAGTCCTCAAAACTCAAAACCTCCCACTCTCCGTCTCCCTCCCACTCTCCATTACTATCTCTCTCTGTCAGTTTAAGGCACTTACTCAAGAAATCGCGATTCCAGAGTGTCCCTTTGGGGTTAGTAATTCGCTTTTAAGTATTCCCTCGGAGTTTCGACCAAAACAATGTGGCAAGCAAAGCGGCGAGTATGTGTGGGTGTCTTTCTGTACGTGTATTTATTTGTGGGTGTGCAGTAGGGTGGACCAGTTTGAATAAAAAACTAACTTCCGTTGGTGCAAGTTAAAAATAATTAATTCTTTACCACACAAAATGTAACATTAGTACAAAATTTAGCCAAATTAAGTTTAATGTCACCTTTTGAATAGTTTTAAAGCTCTTTGAATTTTTTTTTATAAATAACTGCCAGTACATTGACTGAATATCATAAAAAAAGTGTAAAAATTTATTTGTACATTTTTTTGGTTACACAAAGTCTTAATAATTTGGATTTGTTTTTGGCTAATGTTGATTAAACTGGAAAATCTGAAATTTAGCTGGCGCTAACGCTTTCACAAAAATTACTCAATTTCACAAAGGTCCTCGATGCAACACTGCGTATGAGTGATCCACATTGAAACCTGTAGCATTTAAACCAAATCTATTCAATATAAAAATACGTGCAATTTTTTATGTGTAAACAAAACTAAGGTCCACCCTAGAGTGCAGCTATCACCTTGAGCACTTAACGTATTTATGTATATATTTGCTCTATAGCAAGTATGACAAATATGTCTGTTTCGGATATTTGACGATACGTTTCGCAGTTCTCAAAAGTCTGTACTCGGCTTACATTTACGAAGGTAATATATAGTATAGTTCGTTAATAATTGTGTATATGCATAGACACCAATAGTTGTTAATCGTTAAGAGTAATATGCAAATTCTGTATGTGGCTTTCATTTCGCTTGGTTTAGTTAGGAATATGTATACGCGTATTGTTGTAAATATCTAACATAAATTCATACATGAAGCACACTTGGGTTCGGTTTTTATTAACTATTTGCTAGTGTGGTTAGTAATTCGTTCAAAGTTTCGCATTTAACAAAATATCCATTATGTTAACAATTTGATTTATTTTTTTTTTGTTTTTTCTTTTTAGGTTTTTCTATTTTCAAATATATATTTAATGTACGAAGTTTAATTTATTAATTTCTTATTCTTTGTTGTATTACAGTTGCTTCTTCCTCGTTGTTGTTCCCGCTGGTTCTTCATTAAAGAGTTAGAGAATTAGACCTTCGATTTATTAAATTGAATTCTCCTGTTCATGTGGTTTGCATTTGGAAACCATTGTAGCATTTTCTGGGGGTATTTATTGAATTGGCTTAATTGAAATACTGAATTGCTGAACACACACAGACAAATTAATGTACGCTACGATCCTTAAAAAATAGCATTTTCATCTCCAACTTTAATCCCGCTTCAGTTTTGTCTCAAATAATTGCGCCACGAAAATTACAACCTCACTTAACATCTAATGCACGTCACAAAATATTATAGAACTGCATTCCATCGAGATGCGGATTAATATTAATCACTCAATTAATTAATCGGTAATTTAATGTATCTCTGTATATAGGCATGCATGCACTTATGTGTGTATAATTATGTTTCTGTTTCGCATCGAGGTGATCAAAACATTTCTGAAGACTTTCTTGTTCACAATTGTTCTTAGTTCTTGTATGCAAAAAACTTTGGACGTTTGGTATTCTTATTCAAGTTCATATAATTATTATAATTAGACAAACAAAATGCTTAAAGCTGCCCACAAGACTTTGTCTACATCGTTTTTAGGTATTATAATTACGATTCCGTTTTGGTTTTTATTAGTACTCGTATATATATTAAGCTTGCTGCAGCTGCTTAACATTTAAAAGACACACAGTATGTAGGTGAAACTAACTCTAGGATTACGGATTCTACACTCTCTATGTGGTTTTCCATGGGTGTGAGTGATACTTTTTTTTGTTTCGTATTTTCATAGTTTTTAGTAAGGCATATGCACAAGGGAAGGACTCGATCATCGTCGCTTACATATCGTTGGATATTTTGGATACTAATTTAGTTGGTAGAAACGAAAACACATAACTAGAGGGGAAGACAATACTGGGGGGCAATTGTATGTACAGTACAAGGTTTACAATTGGCTGCTTGATATGAGTATTTAGATTTTACTTTAGTTTAGTGCTTAGTTTGTGAGAAGCTAGAGAACTAATCCTTGCCATCCTTGACCATCCCTACTAGCTCGAACTTAGAGATACTTTCGCACTGTTACAGACTACACATTAAAACTCCTTCAATTACATTTCATTGCAGTAGTTATTGCTGTTTGGTTGTCGAGGTGTCCTGCTGATTGTGATGCTAAAGAATCGTATAATTAACTGTTTCAGAGTGTCTCGTGTTGGCTGTGTTTTGTATTTCCCAAATGGTTGAGGCCATTAGTTGATGTTTTACAATTTGTTTAAATTAAGTTTGCTTTATCAAATACCCTGCAACTTCATTTAATTATCACAGTTTTTCATCAGAGATAGTTTAAACGTTTCAATATTCTTTAATTTCATATTTCTTCTGTTTTGTTAAATCAATTTTCTCGGTTGTTCGTTTATTTTTTGTGTTGCTACAGTATGCAAATAAAACGCAAAGCGAGTTGAAATTTGTGCATAATTGTGTCCTATAAATAAGCTTTCTAAATTTGTCAGCAAACAAGGATTATTTTGCTTTTGCCTAGGATGTGTGGGGAGGGGGTTTGGTTATTATTTATTTTCCACACATCTATGCCTGATATGCTGCCCGCTTTTCTCTCTCGATAATCTTAGAATATAATCTACTTGTCTAGATTTGTTTGTTTTTTTTTTTTCATTTTTTGTTTTTGGTGAGCAAGTCGTCTCGTGTAAAACAAACATCGATTTCACTTTTAAAGTAGTTTCTGTTTTATTATTAATCATAATTAAAACGTAATTATTTGGAAGCAAAAGATGGCATATTTGTTTAACTTCTTGTCAATATTTTTGTTTAGCGTTTTGTTCGTGGTTCTTCGCACGTTTAAAACACAAACATTTTTCAACGATAACTAGAACGGAGCAAATAAAACAATACACAAAAAATATAAATGTAAATTTAAAATGTCTTCTTGGAAAGTCTTCTTTTCAATTTCTCGTTTCGTTTGGTTCTGGTAATCGTATATAGTCATAGGTAGTGGTGTGTAGATCGGGGGTGTAAATCATTTATGTGGTGACAAATGCCGGCTGATGTCCTTTCGCTATGTCTATTATCCTTCTTCTCTTGTGGTCTCTTTCAGTGTTTTGTACTTTCGACAAAGAATATTTTTTGGTTAAACCGATTTGTATACAAACAAGGTAATAATGGCAAAAGACACAAGTATATAATATACCTCTCTAATACATCATGCGTACTTTTGTGCTTGCAGCATGTGGGGTATGTGGTGTTGAACATGTTGGTATTTTGGCATTGCTTTTGCTTTCGATTTCAAAATACATACAATAAATACAAGTCTCCAATTTAACAATACAAGTGTAAGTGCGGGGTTGCCCGAATATTACGTCATCACTGATTGGGGATTGCGGGGAATCCCCTGCAAAAGGAGGGATACAAAGGGCCAAAATGCGCTAACGTAATTTAAGAACATCCCTCAAATGTGTGTGTATGTAAATATAATATATATGTCATATGAATAGGTAGGTAATCCTCATCTGATCGAGCTAAAACAAATACAATACGAATATAAACTAAGCATTCTAAGACGTTGCGTGAATTTTGGTACTTTAAGTAATGCTCATAGGTTGCCTAACACATTGAGAGTATTGAAAGTAAAGCGTACTAAAACGACAGACTAATACAAATTACGAACAAAAATTCACTTAATTAGGAAACACGAAGGAAGAGTAATAATAAAAATAATTGGCAATACGAGCGAGGAGCAGAAGGAATCAACAACATACTATTTACTTTTGAACATTTTTTTTGTCGTTTTTTTTTTGTTTTTGTTTTTGTTAATTTTCATTTTGGTTTTGGGCGGGCTTCGGCCTTTTGCTAATACACAAATCGTTTGTTGTACTATGCAGCCTGTTTTATATGTACGTATAGTAGTAGTATGTGGTATATATTTATATAAATATGTATGCATGATTATGTA